GGTCCCACTCCAATGAGACAGTGCCCCAAACAACCTGGGCGCGAGGGGGCACCCTCAAAGGAATCCTCCCCTCCTCCCCCGCTCCCATCGCCGCCCTAAGGGGGGGCATCTGAAGCCGCCCCCCCATCCCCAAACATGGCATCAGGTGGCCTCCCAGACTGCCAAGACGGCCTTCACATCGGACGGACCTATATGGCCTCCACGTCGATCCAAATGGACTCCAAAACGGACACGGAGGCCCCAACACGGACCAAGAGGCCCACAAGACATCCAAGTGGCCTCCAAGAGGACACCGAAGGCCCGAAGATGCCCAAACCATACATATGCCTGCGGTGTTTGAAGAATCTCAGCGTTGGCGCCTCTTCAAGCTTCCGAACCCAAGACGGCCCAAGAGGCCTCCAAGATGGCCCAAGACGGACCAGGAAGCCCCCAAAAGGGCTCCAAGGCGGCACAACAGGGCCCAAGATGGCCCAAACGGTCACCGAGGGCCCAAACAGGACGGCCCAAAAGACCTAAAAGACGGCGCAAAAGCGTCGCACAAATTCGTTTCTAATGCCCAGAGAGACCCCCAAGATGGCTTCCGAAGGCGTCAGACGGCCCAAGAGGGTCCTGAGACGACCCCAGAGGCCACCTGCCCCCGAGAGGCACCCAATGGGCCGAGAAGAGGCCCAAAGGATGCCTCTCCCGAGGCGGCCACCCGAGCGCTGTGATGGAATCGCGCGGGGCGCAACTGGATTTGGACCATACACAGATTGCACCACAAAGATCGCACGTCGAGGATGCAGAAACGCAACGCTCGGAGTCAGCGCTGGCACATGTCATGATGATGGGCCTGCGACAGACCTGCTGAATGCTGGAGCAGATCCGCGCAGAATGTGTTCTCGGTGGCCCTGTGCTGTGGGTGTAGAATGGTCGGGTGACGCCAGCTGTGCACCTGAATCGATCCTGGGCCCAGGATCGGTCTGGCCAGGATCCGTCTAGGTGCACAGCCAAACATCCGGCCACGGTTGTTCCCAACCATCCTGTGGTGTTGGGTCTTCGTTTTGAAGAAGCAGTCGCCGCGTCCACTCTTCTCTTCTCCCTCCTCCTCCTCCTCCTCCTTCTCCTCCTCCTCCTCCTCCTCATCATGCTCCCCATCCTCCTCCTCCTCCTCCTCCTCCTCCTCTGCCTCCTCCTCCTCCTCTGCCTCCTCCTCCTCCTCCTCTCCTCCTCCTCCTCCTCCTCCTCCTTATCCTCCTCCTCCTCCTCCTCCTCCTCCTCCACCTCCTCCTCCTCCTCCTCCTCCTCCTCCTCCGCCTCCTCCTCCTCCTCCTCCTCCTCTCCTCTCCTCCTCCTCCTCCTCCTCCTCCTCCTCCCCCTCCTCCCTCCTCCCGCCACCCATCTCACTTTGGCACACCCCTCACACGTTTCGTGGCCCCATGGGAGCTTCACATAAGGCCCCAGGGGCGGCGTTCGCATGCCGCAACCCCGCTCACTTTGGCACACGCCTCACACGTTTCGTGGCTCCATGAGAAGCTCCGCCGAAGACCCCATTGGCTGCGTTCGCATGCCGCCACCCCCTCACTTTGGCACACCCCTCACACGCTTCGTGGCATCATAGGGAGCTCCACCTAAGGCCCCAGTGGCTGCGTTCGCATGCCCCAACCCCGCTCACTTTGGCACACCCCTCACACGTTTCGTGGCCCCATGGGGAGCTCCACCGAAGGCCCCAGTGGCTGCGTTCGCATGCCGCCCACCCCCTCATTTTGGCACACGCCTCAAACGTTTCGTGGCCCCATGGGGAGCTCCACCTGAGGCCCCAGTGACTGCGTTCGCATGCCCCCACCCCCCTCACTTTGGTACACCCCTCCCATGTCTCGTGGTCCCATAGGGAGCTCCACCTAAGGCCCCAGTGGCTGCGTTCGCATGTCGCCACCACGCTCACTTTGGCACACGCCTCACACGTTCCGTATCCCTACAGGGAGCTCCACCAAAGGCCCCAGTGGCTGCGTTCGCATGACGCGCCCATGTCCGCTCACCGTTCTCCCGGTGCATGTCAGCCGCAGAGGGTTGCATCAGCATGTAACCCGTTTCGTATGACCTCCGCGCCCCCTGCGCGCGGCCCCAACAGCAACGCCCGCATGGCGGCCCGCCCCGTCTCATTTCGACGCTCCCTTCACACGATTCGTGGTCCCGTAGTGAGCACCACTGGAGGCGTGTTTCACAACGGCGGTACTCACAACTGCATATGGCTGGGTCCTTCGCCCGGATACTTTTTCAATACGTGGCCCAAAAGGTCTTGACTTGTTCCCCCGGGGGGCAGACCCAGATCGTGTCTGGCGGCCCAAGGGCCCAATAGCGTCGACAGAAGCCCAAATCTATGAAAAACATCCGGATCGAAAAGAACTTATCGTCGGAGATCTGGGCAATTGGCGCACTCCCACTGGAGGTCCCGAAACAGTGCGGTGACCGACCGTGCGGTGGCCTGGAAATCCCCACGGACATCATCGCACGGTGCGTCGCCGCACGCTTTGGGGCCGTGGAGGCACTCAGTTCTGCGGCGGCCTTCGGGGCGATCCAGGCACCCCTGGAGCGCCCTCGGCGAGGCGCAGCCGCTAGAAGGCATCCCGCGGCCAGAAAACCGCGAGGAACCAGTCGGGGGCGCGCAAACATGGATTAGCGATCCATGGATTTGGCGCGCGGTCGCCAAATCCATGGATCGGGGGAGGTGCCCTCCCCCAAAATGCGGCCGGTGCCGCCCCTTTCGGCGGCGGAAATCCCGGATTTCCCACGGAAACGGGACCCGTCGCTAATCCACGCCCCCTTAATCCATGTTTGCGATCGCCTGAACCAACGAACACGTCCGAAAACCTTGCACCTCGCACCCCCCTGAGCCTATCCCCCCAGCGTCGGTCAAACCTCGACCACCCGAGGGGGCGCCCACTGCCCTGGCCCTGGGATGGACCAGCTGGTGCTGTGCGAGAGCTGCGGCAGCGCGAAGGGCGCTGGGGTGTCGCTGCCCTGCGGCTGCGGGCGCTGGGAGCTGCTGAAGCCCCAGCCCCTGCCGTCCTGCGGCGGCCAGGGACGAGGGGGAACGTTCGGGGCGGCTGGCTCGGAGGGGGGAGCATCGACCTGGGATGGGCGATGCATCGCCGATAGAGCGAGCGGCGATAGGCCCCCGACGGCGAGTCCGCAAGGCCCTGTGCGGGGTGGGCTCGCAGGAGCCCTGTCGGCGATCCATGGGCGATGGGAGCCTGGGCGCCTCGCCTCCCGGGAGCGTCTGCGGCAGGATTGGGGCCATCTTGGGCCGTCTTGGGGGTCTCTTGGGGCGTACTGGAGCCGCCCTGGGCCGTGTTGGGGCCGTCTGGAGGGCCTTGACGATGTCCCGTCTTCCACAAAAGAAGTAACCCTTGTTGGCCATTTACCGGCTCGGGCGCATCTGGGTCCCCTCTTGGACCCAAGCGGATAGCATCTAGGGCCCTTCGGGGCCACCGCTGGGCAGCCAAAATGGCAGCCCGAGATGGCTTCCAGGATGGCGCGCGCTGGTCGATGCTAGCCCTGGGTGGTCTCCAACATGCTTCCAAGAAGCTCCCAGACAGCCACCATGCGGCCCGATGCTGCCACAAAGCTCGCCAAGGAGGCCCCCGAGAGGCGAAAGACATACAAGTATGTGTTTCAATGTTTTCTGGTTTCCCAGCTTTTTGCTTCCGATGCGCTTCGGCGGCCTCATGATGGTTCCAAGAAGGCCCCAGTAGGACCCACATGGGCGAAAACGGCCCCGAGACGGCCCCAAGACGGCCCCAAGATGCCCCCCCAAGGCGACTCGCTGGAGGCCCTCGGGGGCGAGGGGCCAGCCTAGGACCGTCCAGAAGTCAGAAAAAGGATCGGGGGCCCTCAGGCAGGCATCCTGGGGCGGGCCGCCCCTGGCCATCGCTCGGACGTCCATTCCCTGTGTTGTCGTTCGGTGTCGTGCGTGGTATTTTTCGCCAAATGATCAAGGATGCTCCTCGATGGTCCTCGCCGAAGGAAAAATGCACACGTCCGAGCGATGCCAAGGCCCCGGGGAGGGAACGGGCGGGACAGTTATTGTCGTCAACCCGCTCCAGTAGGGAAGTCCCTCCCCTGGACCTGGACGGGAGGATTCGCGACCGATTGGAGTGTCCAAGAAGATATCGGCCAGGGTGTTGGGCCAATGTTGGCTTCCTGGGGGGGCGCTAATATGGTACCCCCCCTTCTTTGATCGAACTCCTCCGAGATGGCCCCCCCTGCACTCCCAAGAGTGCCCTAAGAGGTCCCCAAGAGGCTCCAAAGAGACCATCAAGAGGCCCAAAGTGGCTCCCAAAAAAACACCCAAGACGCTCCAAGAGGCCCCCAAGACGCCAAAAGAGGATTCCAAGAAACTCTCGAGAGACATCCGAAGAGATTCCGAGAGGCGTCCGAAAGGCCTGTGGCCATTCTGCTCTCCCTCCACCTCATCCTCCTCCTCCTCTTCCTCATCCGTCCATTCCTCCTCCTCTTCCTCCTCCTCCCTCCTCCCTTCTCCCCGAGGGGGAGATAATTCACCCTATTTGACTTGTGCTTTCCGCGATTGCAACTAAGGTTTTTGACCGAGTGAAACTACACATGCACCATTGTACGAGCTGCGGAGATATGCACGCGCAAGCATGCATGCATACACACATATGCAAGTCAACATAACAACTTGATCTCCGTAGTATTTTCACGCGCGGACAAACAAACGCAATCGCGAGTTCCCGCATAAGAAAATTGCTGATTCTCTCGCATGCGCCAACGGCCGCTAGAGATGAATCGCTCAGACGCGCCTCTTTGTTGTAGCAATGGTCTCTAGAACAGCCCTCGACCTGCTAGCGGGCCTCTTCCGCACCGCCGTTTCTTCCTCTCCAACATTATCGAGTTGCTTCTCCACAGAAGAAATAAGGCGCTTGAGAACAGTTCCACTGCGCTGATCTGACGACGACGCATATGGAAACTTCACGCTTGTTGACAAATACCATGCTAACATCTGCCGAACGACGAACGAGCGGACGGCTATCTTCATGTGGCGTTGCGTTTGATACCGCACATTTGCGAAATGAGCTAGGAGCTGAAAATGCAGGCGCTCGTTTGCAGTGGCGCCGTCGTGCGCCAACTCGATGTTTGTGGTTTTCTTTAAGAAGCGGGCGTTGTTCTGCAAATACTCGAACTGCGTAACCGTTGCAGCATGGCGGAACATCCCCTTGAGCTTCGGCCTGTCCTGCACGAGCGCGTCGTGCTTAACAGCGGCCGCCGCGAGCAATTCAAAATACTCCGAGGGCTTGCGGGAGGGACTCTCTGGGTCGATGTTGGCAATGAGGGCATTGGCGTTCCGCTTGGTCATGCCCTGCAGCTTCTTGTCATACGTTGAGTTGTACTGGAACCTGTCCATGCCTTGGGTACGAAAGTGGTAGTAAACTGGGTTCCTTTCCCTGCACGGAACGCTAAACTTGTGGACGATGCATCGAAGCGTCCGGCTCAGTTGGTTGCGGTGCCCGCCAAACTCAGCCTCGACCTCGAATGCTCGATGAAGTGGGTCTTGACATATCCCCTGCAAGTTCCTGAGCTTCTTGAAGGTGTCGGCGTTATCGTGATTAGAAGCGTTGTCCGCCTTCAACACGAGCACGTACTTGCGCTTGTCCCTCAGCGACGCGCAGACAGCATCAATGACAATGGGCGAGCGCTCAGAGAACAAGGGGATAACGTCGATGACGCACGACGTCTTGCTCAGGATTGTCTCGAGCACGTGCTTCTCAGCCCGTTGAAATGATTGCTTTTGCGTGCCGTGCTTTGGTTGCCCGACGAGCGACATGGGCACCTTGTAAGTTCCATCGATAGATACGCACGAAAACTCGTCTTTCACATTCATCGCATTGGTCACAAACTTCTCAATGCTTCCTTTTCGTAAAACTTGATCAGCTATTGTGTATATCGTCTTATCACACGGGAGCAGCAAAGCAGCAGGATTTCCACCTGCAACGAAAGAACTTACCAGCGCGTCGCGAACCGTTCTAGAAACACCCTTGTTCTGCGGGTGGGCGAGAGCGACCAGGAGCTTCGTGGCGAAATCCTCGCGGTACACTTTGCTCCCGATGCGAGCGAACCCGCGCGAAGCCTTGATGTTGCACTTCATCGGGGGTTTGGGTCCATCTGCAGTAATTGCCCACGTCGCAAACTTATCCATCCTCATCACTTTACCCTCGATATTATGGAAGGCGTCGTCGCTGTGAAACTGGGGAGCCCAAAAAAGAAGCAGGCCGAAACTTCGGTGTTAAATTTATCCCCCCGATCATCTATCCCCCCACCCAAATCGAGCAAAACATCGCCCGCCACCCATGTGTATCATTATCTTCGCTTTTGGAAACGCGCCTGCCCCCATTTCGGATTCCGCGCGGGAGCCGAAGCTCGGATGAAACTCGCTGCCCGAGTCAGGTAACGGCGATCGGGGGAGTGCGACCCGAGCACTGGAAACACTGCGGCAACGTGTTCGTCGAACTCGTCTTGTTCGCAGAGCGCTCTAGCCAATTTAGAAACCAGTGTGCAAGAAGTTCCCTCGTCGCTCATCTGATGATACCAATGCGCGAGGTCGCCCCGACGCTCGGGTCGGCAGAAAAAGCGACTCACGCAGAATGGGCGCGAATCCGCCAGCACGCGCCGCGGCGCGTACTAAGATAATTCAAAAAACCCGAGATCCCCCAGGAAATCGCACAAGAACCAACAACCTGAAACATATGGCAGTAACAAAATCCTACGATCAAGCCGTTGCTCCCGAGAAGCATCGCAAGATAATCCAAAGCGAGACCCAAGGCGCTTCTCTCTCGCGACGCAGGCATGGGGCGGCGGGGCGGGCCAAAGGCCGGAAGTATAAACTCCACGTTCTGCGATGGGAAAAGCAGGCGAATTTACTTCAGCTTTGACGTGGGCAAAGAACTGAGTGCCAGTGTTCTGCCGCAGGCCCGTTGCTCCTGCAGCGCCGCCCAGAGCATCTGCTGGCGCGGGCGGGAGCGGCGGCAACCCCTCGGAGTGGTCTGCAGCGTCGTCTTCACCGTCGCACAGAAGGTCTCCAGAAGGAGGCACGTCTGTCAGAATACCATCTGAGTATGTAAACTCCTCAACGAGCTCATCCTCAGATTCCTGCTCTGGCAACTCGCCCTCCTCTTCCGAGTCCTCGCTCTCGTTGAACGCGTCGTCCAGGATATCGATGTCGTAGAGGAGAGTCTCCGACGACACATCGCTCATATCGATGTCGTCGAGGCCGGGGAGTTCGCCGCCAATGTCGACGTCGCTGTTCCCACGTCGCCGGATGCATCGCCCTCGACGCACTCGTCGGGTGCCTGAGCAGGGCAAAATTTAAACCATTGTTGTTGTTAAAAAGCAAATCTTATATGGGCTCCGCCAAACCATTGCGCGACGAAAACAAATTCTGATCTTTCGAATGTTGAGAATGCTAATTTCCCAGACCCCCCGCTGCATCATGCGATTTGGGCCCGGCCCACCCCTGGATGAAAAGATTCCCTCTACCTGGGCATCGCCGACTCCGAAAACATCCGCCCTTTTCGTCGCACCCTTGTCACGACAACATTATAATACACGCAGACGAGAAACTGCTAACCCGACCCCTGTTTCCGCCCCCGGCCTCGACGCGCTCGTCAGGCGCTTGAAGTCCTCCACCCAAGCCGCCGTTCTGGGAAGATGCGTCGAACTGGATCCACCCAATTTGTTCGTCTGCATGACTCAACATGAACTGCGCGAAACCGGCGGAATGGGGCCCCTGGTCGCCGAAGAGGCGGCAGGCGCCCGAGTCCGGCGGCGAAGGAGAAGACGAAGAAGCCGCAACGCCTGGCGGCGATGAGCGGATACATTCATGGCAGACGCGATGGGGCCCACGTGGAATTAAGTCCGTGCTCAGACAGCCGCAGACGCTGCAGCTCGAGCCGCCGAGAGCGTCGCCTCTCGAACGTCGGAACTCCCGCATCAGCAAAATGCGGAGGTACCGAGCCTTGCCGCCAAAATCTGCCTCCAGGGATTGCGCCATGGAGGCGAGCATGGTGGACGCAGACCGACCAACGCCCGTGGAATCACGCAGATTGATAGCATATGTGAACAATGCTTCCTGCGCGTCTAGGAACGCCTCCGTGTCGATGCGCCCCACCGAATGCTCTGGCCGCACTGCGATCTGAAACGAACCAGGAAGGGGTCGCGGATCGTCTCTGTAGTATGTAAAAGAGAATGGCGCGCTGTCCATGCTCCCCATGTGGCGTCGCCGATCACGCACTACCCAGGCAAGCCCCACGGCGCCGAGATCACGCAGCTCCTGAAAACAACGCGAACGCCTTTCTCGGGCGAGCTGTTCATTGGGAATCCCTGCAGGTGTTCCCGTGTCGCCAACCGAATTTCACGGTCTGTCTGGCACGCCTGGCAAGGAGCTACTGTGGCGAAGTAGCTCGGGCCGAGGACGCAGTCTCATCAAGTTCTTCAACAGAGACGCGGAGCGGCTGCAGCGGCGCTCCATGTCCGTCACCAATCCGAGGAATTCGCCCTCGGAGCTGATGGTTCCGTCTCGGAGTTGGATGTACGTGAGCTGCTGCTCTCGTTCGAACGCGCTCAGCTCCGTGGCGCCGCCAAGGGAGTCCCTCTCGCCGCTCTGCGGGTGGAACTGCTGCACCGTGAAGGTCACTCTTCGACGAGCCGAGCACGCCGATAAGACCATGTCGATGTCCGAAACGGCTGTCGGCGGTGTTTCGACAATCTTCCGGCGAACATGTAGGTGTTAATACTGATCCCGCCTATTGTCTTGAGAGTCGTCTCGACTTCGTCCACGATTGAATCTTCAATGCTGGACAGTGCATAGTGCAGTCTTGTAGCTGTCGGATTTGGCCTCTCGTTGAACATATCCTGCAAATATGAAAACTGAGGCAGACTGAGGAAACGTATCACGGCCTCCTTAATCTCCCGAGAAAGATTCCATAGGAAAGGCAGATCGTTGCGAGGAGCAGCTAGGTGCACGAGGCGGATGAGAGCGCGCTTTGCGTCCTTCATGCTGACACCCAGATAATCGCAAAGAAATGCTCTCCATGATTTGTGGTTATTCTCGAAAGACATGAGAGTTGGGTAGTCCCCAATGTCCAATGACGCATCCTCCAAACTGTTGCAGAGGAGCACCACGAAGCAGTTCTCGATGTCGATCTCGAAGAACACGTTGCCGGACATGGCGGAGCATCCTTCCTCTGCTTCCAAGGCGTATGCCCTGGCCTCTTTTGACAATGAGAACTGCACAGAAATGCCAATCGGGTAGCGCCGCCCAGGGATGTTGTGCTTCCTGTAATAATATACTCTGCAGGTAACAAAATCTCCCACACGAGCGCCTCGTTGTTTGCGGTCAGCCAGGAATCTGCGAGCTGAGTCCGCTTTGCGAGTGATCCTCCCGTTCTCCAGTGCCGATTCTAAGGCTAGCACGTTGACCCTCTCCGTTAGATACCCCGCGGGCACATCGGCCGCATGCGGGGCCGCCTCTCCGTGGTCTTCCGGCTGAGCCCACGACCTAATCAGGAGGGATTCTTTGCACTCACATATAGGTCGCCAGCTTGAGAAGCCACCTCCGAAACGCTCTGGGCCGTGCACTTCCAGGAGCTCCTCAAAAGTTTCTAGTCGCACGTCCAAGAATTCAAACTGCTTCTTCTCGTGATCAAACGTGATCAGGTGGGGCCATGCGGTCGCGGCCTCCAGCAGCACGTCGGCTTTGCTTGGTTTGCCCCTTGCGCTAGGATGGTAAGTGCCCGGAATAGCCTTCATCTTCTTCGCAACGTCATGCCACTTCACAACCCGAGCGCCATCTGCGAGATGATGCGCCAACTTCACGATGGACGAAAATTTCTCCGTCTCAACGTTGTCATCCTCCACTGTTATGTAATCCGCGTGCGGCTGGAGACCCCCGTTGGCCATCTGAGCAACCGCTCGTCTTGTGGCGTTCACGATCTTCTCTGGCGGGTTTAGCAGCAATGCTCGACATTCCTTGGAGTTGGCATTGCGACGGGGAAGTCGCTCTCGAGTGCACCCCGTGCCCCGCCTGTAGCTCGCGCGGCTTGATCGCCCCCTACACCCCCTCTCCCCCATCTCTTCGCTCGTGGGAAAATACGCGCGCACGCGCGCGCGCACACAGACGCGCGCACGCACACAAACACACGCACATACACGTACACACGCACACGCGCGCACACGCAACCACACACGCGCACGCGCGCGCGTGCAGAACGGGCGTTCTCATCGCAGACAGAGCCAGGTGATCCGCGCGAAATAGAGGCACGAAGGAGGGGGGTGAATTCCCCGCCGCCAATGCCAACTCCCAGTCCTCGGGAGAAGTGTCCTCGATGAACGGGATCAGGCAATTCTTGATGTATGCAAGACGAGCCTCGGGACTTTCCAGGAATGCTGTTAGTGTTGGATCTTCCCGAAACGCGCGCTTCTCAGGGTCCACCGCGTCAGGGTTGCCCATGAAAGATGCCTCTACTTCGAGCACAAGGAGTCGGCGCACAAAAGGTCTCAAAGAAGCCATGTCGTTCGGATTGCCCTTGATGGACGGCAGCATGTCGTTTGTCTCCCAATACTTTCCACAGCTTATCCACTGGTAATATGTTGTTGTTTTACCAAATAGCGGTCGACATGCGAGACGCTCACCAGAAATGAACTTATTCCAAACCTCCTCGATGAGCTCTTGCCCTGGGTTGCATTCCTGGACGGTAACTGCCCTGGCATGAGCAAATCCACCCCCCTGCTTCCGAAATTCTTCTGGCGTTTGAAGAACTTCTGGCGACGCAGTTGAATGATGAGGTCCGAATACATTTGAACGGAGGATGGTCCGGGCTGACTTGGAATTACCACCTTTCCCTTTCAGCAGAATTAGAACAGGCGGCGTAGCCTGGCCCATCCAACACAGAGCTTCCATAGCCATATCGATGTCCCGCGCCTCCGGTCCGCCAGCCCACATTGTCGCGAGCATAGTTCTCAGGCGCTGAACGGCCTCGGCAACGGGCTCGACAGCGAGACTGACAGGCACTCCAAAATAACAATTGTTCGCCTTGCCCTTTAGGATCTGTTGCAGTCGACCCGGCCCTCGAACGCCGGGGTGAACTCTGAGAGTGCAGTCGTCGGACGTAATCGTCGGGACAACCTGGGTAACCTTCTCCCCCTGCATCCAAGCGCCGAAAATCTCGAATAGTTCATGGGCTCTCTCTTTACCGCCAAACCGAGACATCATGCAGGAAACTCCGCGACAGGCGTCCCATGCCCACGCGGCGGCGCCTGGGTCTTGCGGGCCGCGCATTGGGTGCTTCGTCACAGGGGCAGCATTGTGATACATGTTAGCGTTAGCCTCTATGGCATCGAACACGGCGGCCGCGTCCCTCCGCAGCGTCACGTTACCGATGTCCACGAAAATGAACTGCGCAATGTGAAAAGCATTCTGGCATCGCCGCATCGTATCTCGGGTACCTCCTCCACACGCCTGAAAGAGCCGTTAATGTATTTCACGACTCCATCGGAGTGGGCCCTGAAGTCGGCTTCCAGAAAAAAAGCAGCAATTTGAATTGCCAGTGCATCGTTGGTCGCTTGCCAGTGGAGTCGCTCGGCACAGGCGAGCAGGACAATCCTTAGCGCGTCCTCGACGATGTCAGACGGGGGAGGGCCCCACGCAGCTACCAATGCTGATACCTGTGCAGAGATTCGCTTGATGCATTGCATCATGCTTTCTCCATCGTCCTCGACATCCGCCGCGATGCCTTGAAGCGATCGACGGTTAACCATGCGCGTATACTTATCTGGCTCCCACATATCCAGGACGCGCTTCCTGCACTCGGCATCGCTTGCAGAACCGCCCAGACAATCTTTTTGAGAACCGTCGTCGCGCTCCTCCCTGAAAGGAGCCAGCTGCGTCGCTGTGGCATGGTCGCGCGCGTCCGCGCCGCAGCCGCATGCCGCCTGAGCGCCACTGCGCGAGGCCATCCGCTCCGACGGCAATGCGACGTTGGTCTCCCAGCATGTCCTGCCCTGCCCGCACTCCCCGCGCAAATTTGCCACGTCATACAAAGGCCGGCATCCGACAAGTTCTTCGCGTAAAAAGTTTCCCCACGCATCTCTCTCGTTGTCGGGGGGGGGCGCCAGGGCGCTGCACGCGGCAGTCAGCATCCGCAGCTCCCCGATTGTCCACCGGCGGTGGCGGAGTGGCCCCGCTGTGTGCCGCGCGGCCCATTGCTATCCACTGGTGGAAGAATGGGTCGAGGTGGTCCTCAGTCACGGTGGAACAGCTACTGGCCGCGCCACCCGACGACGTCATCTCCTCCCCCTGCTTCTGCGCCAACCAGTAGTGGAAATTGTGGACCTTGCGGTTGTGGGCGGAATCGTTGAGGTTGCCGAAATTGTGCGCATGCACGACGGGCGGCTGCGAAGGCGCCAGGCCGTCGGGCTGCGGCGCTGTCGCCTGCGAGAGGGGGGCCGCGCTGAATGGCGGAGGCGCAGTAGTAGGTCCCGAGACTTGGCCACCGCCATCCGCCTCCACGTCAACCATCAAGACGATGTCGAAGTGGTTCTCAGTCACGGCGGAACTGCTACTGGCCGCGCCGCCCGACGACGTCATTTCCTCACCCTGCTTCTGCGCCAACCAGTAGTGGAAATTATGGATTTTTCGGTCGCGGGCCGAATCGTTGAGGTTGCCGAAATTGTGCGCATGCACGACTGGCGGATGCGATGGCGCCAGGCCGTCGGGCTGTGGCGCTGTCGCCTGCGAGAGGGGGGCCGCGCTGAATGGCGGAGGCGCAGTAGTAGGTCCCGAGACTTGGCCACCGCCTTCCCATCCACATCAACAATCTTGCATGTTGTCCAGAATGTCTTTGCTTTCTCGTCCTCAACGGCGAGAGGCCTGAATGAGTTGGCAAGGTGCGCGTCGGCCAAAAGGAGCTCCCCATCCACTTTCTTCAAAGCTTGGAAATGATCCACAGGGCCTTCTCGCGTAGGGTATTCGGGGTCATGAACAACGTACTTGGACATGTCATCGATGCCTGAGATGCCTTCTGGCACTTTCACAATCGATTTCCCGAAAGGCGCCAGCATCGCCCGACCGTCCTTCAGCGCCCAGAACGGACCGTCACTCACGTAGGGGACTTTGAAGCGGTGCGCCCTGAAGGAGTCGACAAGACAAACGTCCTTGAAAGGAATCTCCTCGGCCTTCCTGTCACTCTTCATAGGCAGCTCGCCCCTGCGGGAACGTTTGGCCCAGTTGATGGGCGCGGGCGCGGCGTAGCAATAGTCTCTGGATGCGAACTCCAATACGACATCGTAGATCATGTCGGTGTCCGAGGGATCCCCGCTGCTGGCCCGGCCGCTGTTGACCCGCGTTGAACAACGAACTCCTTTCCGCCGGTTTGGCCGCGCCCGCCGAGGGCTCTGCTTGCGGCAAATCTTATCAGCCCCACCCGCGTCTGACTGCGGGAAAAAGTGCGTCAGCAGGTGCCACTGCTTCGCGGCCGCAGACGGCGGGGTGTTCTTGGCGCCATTCATGGACGTGCCGGGGGGGTTGTGCGTTAAGCCCCGCGTAGGTGCGTTCAGGTAATGATCGTCGATGAACGCAAGCTCGGCGACAAGCTTGTTGTGCGTCTGCGCGAGAATGGGCCACGGGCGCACGTCAGCGCTGGGCATATGTGCGTGCGGCGGTGCATCTGAGACAGGCTTGTCCTCGTAGATGTAGAAGCCGTGGTTGAACCCGTCTCCGAAGTAGTCTTCGTCGATGGTAGTTGTGCTGACCCAAATCGCGCTCGCACTGGGCGTGACCGCAGACTTGCACTGATTGGGAGTCGACGTCGTGGCCGCCATTTGATGTGCTGCTCGTTGAGAAGATAAGAAGCACAGGCATTGCAACGAAGGTTCAAAATGCAACGCAGGCGCCTGCAAATTGTACACTGAGCCAATAACGTTACGGTGTAAGTTGCGGCTGGGCACATGACAGCGCATGCTGCATACGCCTGATGAGCGGACAATCAAGATCGGTTAGACATAAATCAGATTAGACCTGAAACGCCAGAAGTTGGATTTCACACAAACCAGGTTTCACACATCAGATTCGTCACAAAACAGTGCCGACCAGACTTGTCACCAGACCAGACAGATCACGCAGACAAGACGTGTCACCAGACGAGACAGACCAGGCCAGGCCAGCCCAGACCAGACCAGACCAGACCTGATCAGACCAGACCAGTCAGATCAGACCAGACCACATCAGAACAGACTAGACCAAAACAGACTCGACCAGACCAGTCAGGATCGGCGCGACACGTACCAAGCCAATCCAGACCGCGCCACACGGACCAGATTTGTCAACGACAGACCAAAAACGAACTGAGTCGATTTGAGTGACCCCTTTGCCGAGAACGCGGGCCACATAATCTCAAACAAAACATGATGACGAAAACGACCCTTGATCTGCCACCGTGCCCCTCATCATAATCATCATCACCATAATCATCATCATCATCATCATCATCATCATCATCGCCATCATCACCATCATTATTACTATATCCGCGATCATCGCGATAATCATCATCATCATCATCATCATCATCATCATCATCATCAACAACATCACCATCATCATCATCATCATCATCGTCGTCGTCATCATCATCGTCACCATCATCGTCATCGTCATCGTCATCGTCGTCGCCATCGTCATCATCATCATAACCATCATCACCACCATCGGCAGCATCATCATCGTCCTCGTCATCGTCATCAGCATCACCACCACCACCATCACCATCCTCATCATCATCATCATCATCATCATCATCATCATCATCATCATAATCATCATCATCATCACCATCGTCGTCGTCATCATCATCATCATTTTCATCATCACCATCATCAGCAGCAGCATCATCATCATCATCATCATCATTTTCATCATCATCATCACCGCCATCATGTTGTTCATCCCTCGCGGGTACGGCGTCGGCTGCCTTCTCGATCGAGGGCCGCCGAGCATGCTGGGCTGGCACGGTGGCGAGACTTGCCGCAGACAGCCTCAATAACTTGCACGATTGTCGCCAGGCTGCTCCCGTAGGGAGCACCTGAAGGGCACCTGAAGGGCACCTAAGAGCAGGGCACCCGCAAGGCACCTGAAGGGCACGTCAGAGCATGGGGCGACGACGACGACGACGACGACGACGCAGGGCACCAGAAGGGCACCCGAAGGGCACCCGAAGGCACCCGAGGGGCACCAGAAGGGCACCCGAAGGGCACCCGAAGGGCACCCGAAGGGCACCCGAAGGACACCCGAAGGGCACCCGAAGGGCACCCGAAGGGCACCCGAAGGGCACCCGAAGGGCACCCGAAGGGCACCCGAAGGGCACCCGCAAGGCACCCGAAGGGCACCCGGAAGGCACCCGCAGGGCACCAAAACGGGGACAAAGAGGGGACAGAAGGGGACAAAGGGGACAAAAGGGGGCAAAAGGGACCAAGGGGACAAATATGGCAAAGAGGGAAACAACAAACGGGACAAAATGGGGCAAAGGGGTCAGAGGAGAAGGGGACAAAAGGGACAAAAGGAGACAAAAATGACAAAAGGAGCAAAGGGGACAAAAGGGGACAAAGAGGGGACAAAGGGGACAAAAGGGGACAAAGTGGACAAAAAGAGACAAAGGGGACAAAGGGGACAAAGGGGACAAAAGGGGACAAAGAGGGGACAAAGGAGCGAAGGGGACCAGAAAGGGGACAAAGACAGGAGAAAAGGGACAAAGGGGTCAGAGGGGACAAAGGGGCCAAAAGGGGACAAAAGGGGACAAACAGGGGACATAGGGGACAAAAGGGGACAAAGGGGACAAAAAGAGACAAAGGGGACAAAGGGGACAAAGGGGACAAAAGGGGACAAAGAGGGGACAAAGGAGCGAAGGGGACCAGAAAGGGGACAAAGACAGGAGAAAAGGGACAAAGGGGTCAGAGGGGACAAAGGGGCCAAAAGGGGACAAAAGGGGACAAACAGGGGACATAGGGGACAAAAGGGGACAAAGGGGACAAAAAGAGACAAAGGGGACAAAGGGGACAAAGGGGACAAAAGGGGACAAAGAGGGGACAAAGGAGCGAAGGGGACCAGAAAGGGGACAAAGACAGGAGAAAAGGGACAAAGGGGTCAGAGGGGACAAAGGGGCCAAAAGGGAACAAAAGGGGAACAAAGAGGACAAAGAAGGCAAAGGGGACAAAGGAGACAAAAGGAGACAAAGCGGGGACAAAGGGGACAAAAGGAGCAAAGGAGACAAAAGGGAACAAAGAGGGGACAAAAAGAGACAAAGGGAACAAAGGGGGCAAAGGGGACAAAAGGGGACAAAGAGGGACAAAGGGGACAAAGGGAACACCGTCGAGGCATCACATTTCTTACTTCCTGCGGCGCATGGGAGAGCGCCCGATGAGCACACGAAGGCACCCGAAAGGCACCCCGAAGGCTCCCGAGGGCACTCGGTAGGCACCCCGAGAGCACGCGTAAGGCACCCACAACACTCGCGAGAATATCTACGATGCCCTTGGAAAACGCCCACTGGGCACCCGCAGGATGCCGTGAATAAGTTCTCGCAGCGCTACCGGCAAGCAACGGGAATGCATCCGAAACGCACTCGAAAGACACCCGAAGGGCACCCGACAGGCACCCGCAATCCGCCCCTGGCCGAAATCTGACAGAATGGTTTTCCTGGAAAAATTGTGAACGTACTATTGAAATGAGCACGCTCAAAAAAAACAAGAACTGCGCCTGGTGGCCCGGGGGCCTCATTTTGAACCGCACAGACCAGCCCCAAATGTGCAAAACAATGCGCCTAATTTCCCCCTTTTACGGTCTCCAAACAGCCTGCGTGAGCGGCGGTGGGCGCTTGCAATCGTGAAACGTGCGAGCGGTCTGTGGAATGTGCATGCGCGAAAACCTTTTGCGGGGACGCTGTACGCACGTGGCGGTCTATAAACATGTTGTAAGGCCGCAACAAAAGGAATCCTTTTGTAAGGCCGCCACAATAGGAATCCTTTTGTAAAGCCGCTACAAAATGAATTCTTCTGTAAGGCCGCCGAAAAATAAATCCTTTTGTAAAGCCGCCACAAAATGAATCCATTTGTAAGGCCGTCACATAAGAAATCCCTTTTTAAGGCCGCCACAAAAGAAATGCTTTTGTAAAATCGCTACAAAAGGAATCCTTCTGTAAGGCCGCCACAAAGGGAATCCCTTTGTAAGACCGCCACAAAAGGAATCCCTTTGTAAGGCCGCCACAAAAGGAATTCATTTGTAAAGCCGCCACAAAAGAAACAAAAGAAATCCTTTTGTAAGGCCGCCGCAAAAAAAGAATCCCTTTGTAAGGCAGCTCATCCTTTTTCGGGAGCCACCAGCGGAAAACCAGGAAAACAATGAAAAACAAGGAAAACAAAGAAAACGCAGCGAAAAACAATGAAAAAAACAAAAAAGACTGTGAAAATACAGCCGAAAACCATAACATCAAAAGAAAACCTATAAAAAAACACAACAAAAAGCAATGAAAACCAGAGAAAACATGTGAAAACACAGTCTTTTTCTGTTTTTCCTTGTTTTTCGCTGTGTGTTCCTTGTTTTCCTTGTTGTTCCTTGTTTTCCTAGTTTTCCGCTGATGGCTCCCGAACAAACATTAACGGCATTGGCGGCCTTACAAAAGGATTCCTTTTGTGGCGGCTTTGCAAAGGGATTCTTTTTGTGGCGGCCTTACACAGGGAATCCTTTTGTGGCGGCCTTACAAAGGGATTCCTTTTGTGGCGGCCTTACAAAAGTATTCCTTTTGTGGCGGCCTTACAAAGGGATTCCTTTTGTGGCGGCCTTATTTTTCTGTTTTTCCTTGTTTTTCGTTGTGTTTTCCTTGGTTTCCTTGTATTTCCTTGTTTTCCTGGTGTTCCGCTGGTGCCCCCCCGAAAAATATTTGCGGCGTTACAAAGGAATTCCTTCTGTAGCGGCATTACTAGAGAACACAACAATAAAAAAACACGATCACAAGAAACACGTAAAACAGTAAGAACGAACCCAAGTCAAATAGGGTGAATTTTCTCCCTTTCCCTTCTCCCCCTCCCCCTTGCCCTCCTCCGATTCCTCCTACATCCTCCCCCTCTCAGGGTACGGCTTCCCCAGCCCTTGTTCCACTGCATGCTCCTCCACATCCCTGATCAGGGCAACTCGCCTGTGCATCGTTTCTGGATGGACTGATGGGGCTACTTTTTTGGTTCGCGGCTCCAAGGCGAGGGACAGGGAGCGGGATCAACGTCTGGGGCGCGGAACGAAGTAAATTGGCCTCAGAGGCGCGTGCACGTGCCAGGGACAAAATTCCCCTCATTGAGACGGACTGATGGGGCTACGCGAAGCGTCTGGAATTGAGAAGTTGTCGAGAAGCGGAGGGGGGGCGAGGGAGCGACAGAGGCAGATGATGTAGATATCTGGTGGGGGGAGGGAGGAGGGAGACAGGAGCGCGGGGACAGGGGACGGAGGACGGGGGGCGAGCACGGGGCGACAGAGACGACAATGACCAGTAGAAATGAGCAGTGAAGTGAGAGGAGGGGAGGGGAGGGGAGGGGAGGGGAGGGAAGGCCGGGGCAGGAGTGCACGCAGGAGGGAGCAGAGGGACGAGCAAAAAAAGGGAGAGGAGGGGAAAAAAAGGGAGAGGAGGGGGGTTTGGCGGGGACGCGGTCGAACAACGTGTGAACTGCTTCTGACTAAGACTATCTCTCGAACCGCAGCGGAAGCTGTGGAAGCGCCGGGGAAGGAGGGCAAAAGGGGGGAGGGGGGGCGGCAGAGTGGAGGAGGGACGGAGCTGTGGGGC